ACATTTTTTATTTTCTGTTTTACAAAATTTAAAATGTAATTATATGAAATTACTTCCCTTACTTCTAACTTCAAGCTAAGCAGGTTCTTATTTCTACAATATATATTTCTATAACATACCTGCGATTGGTTTTGTTCATCATCTTCCATCTCATCTTCATCTGAATTTTCTTCTGAGCTCTTATTTAACAAGTCAAACAGGGCAGAGTCTCCCTGACTCTGGTTGTAAAACCAGCTCATCACTTCAAGTACCCTCTCCACGTCTCGTAAGCTTACAAAGCTACACTCATCCTGAAAAACAATGACAAACAGCCTTACTGACACTAGACATCACCTCTAGTCCCCTTCCCTCATCTCAAACTCACAAACCTACACTCGTCCTGAAACACAGTGACAAACACAGCCGTACTGACACTAGACATCAACTCTAGTCCCCTTCCCTCATCTCAAACCTACACTCTTCCTGAAACACAGTGACAAACACACAGCCTTATTGACACTAGACATCACTTCTAGTCCCCCCAACTCATCTCAAACCTACACTCGTCCTGAAACACAATGACAAACACAGCCGTACTGACACTAGACATCACCTCTAGTCCCCTCCCCTCATCTCAAACTCACAAACCTTCACTCGTCCTGAAACACAGTGACAAACACACAGCCGTACTGACACTAGACATCAACTCTAGTCCCCTTCCCTCATCTCAAACTCACAAACCTACACTCATCCTGAAACACAGTGACAAACACACAGCCTTACTGACACTAGACATCAACTCTAGTCCCCTTCCCTCATCTCAAACTCACAAACCTACACTCATCCTGAAACACAGTGACAAACACACAGCCTTACTGACACTAGACATCAACTCTAGTCCCCTTCCCTCATCTCAAACTCACAAACCTACACTCATCCTGAAACACAGTGACAAACACACAGCCTTACTGACACTAGACATCACCTCTAATCCCCTCCCCTCATCTCAAACTCACAAACCTACACTCGTCCTGAAACACAGTGACAAACACAGCCGTACTGACACTAGACATCACCTCTAATCCCCTCCTCTCATCTCAAACTCACAAACCTACACTCGTCCTAAAACACTGTGATAAACATACAACCTTACTGACACTAGACATCAACTCTAGTCCCCTCCCTTCATCTCAAACTCACAAACCTACACTCGTCCTGAAACACAGTGACAAACACACAGCCGTACTGACACTAGACATCACCTCTAGTCCCCTCCCCTCATCTCAAAATCACAACCTACACTCGCCCTGAAACACAGTGACAAACACAGCCGTACTGACACTAGACATCACCTCTAGTCCCCTCCCCTCATCTCAAACCTACACTCATCCTGAAACACAGTGACAAACACACAGCCTTACTGACACTAGACATCACCTCTAGTCCCCTCCCCTCATCTCAAACTCACAACCTACACTCTCCCTGAAACACAGTGACAAACACAACCTTACTGACACTAGACATCACCTCTAGTCCCCTCCCCTCATCTCAAACCTACACTTATCCTGAAACACAGTGACAAACACACAGCCTTACTGACACTAGACATCAACTCTAGTCCCCTCCCCTCATCTCAAACTCACAAACCTACACTCGTCCTAAAACACTGTGACAAACACACAGTCTTTCTTTTCAGGTTCGGCTGGTTGAAATGGTTGAATCAAATACGCGAAAGGACGGTACTCGACACATGTCTCACAGTCTATATTGACATTTATCAGAGAAATGCATTTTGTAGTCTCACAAATACAAAAGGAGAACTAAAATGCTCATCACTTCAAGTACCCTCTCTGCTTCTCGTAAGCTCATCACAAAGCTACACTCATCCTGAAAAACAGTGACAAATATACACTCTTACTGTCACTAAACATCACCTCTAGTCCCCTCCCCTCATCCCAAACTCGCAAACCTACACTCATCCTGAAACACTGTGACAAACACACAGCCTTACTGACACTAGACATCACCTCTAGTCCCCTCCCCTCATCTCAAACTCACAAACTTACACTCGTCCTGATACACAGTGACAAACACACAGCCTTACTGACACTAGACATCACTTCTAGTCCCCTCCCCTCATCTCAAACTCACAAACCTACACTCATCCTAAAACACAGTGACAAACACACAGCCTTACTGACACTAGACATCACCTCTAGTCCCCTCCCCTCATCTCAAACTCACAAACCTACACTCGTCCTAAAACACAGTGATAAACACACAACCTTACTGACACTAGACATCACCTCTAGTCCCCTCCCCTCATCTCAAACTCACAAACCTACACTCGTCCTAAAACACTGTGATAAACATACAACCTTACTGACACTAGACATCACCTTTAGTTCCCTCTCCTCATCTCAAACTCACAAACCTACACTCATCCTGAAACACAGTGACAAACGCAGCCTTACTGACACTAGACATCACCTTTAGTTCCCTCCCCTCATCTCAAACTCACAAACCTACACTCATCCTGAAACACAGTGACAAACGCAGCCTTACTGACACTAGACATCATCTTTAGTTCCGTCCCTTTATCTCAAACCTACAATGACAAACACAACCTTATTAATGACACTATCGATATCACCTCTAGTCCCATCACCTAATCTCAAACTCACAAACTTACACTCATTTTTAAACACTGTGACAAACACACAGTCTTTCTTTTCAGGTACGGCTGGATGAATTGGTTGAACCAGATACTTGAAAGTACGGTACTTGCCCCATGTCTCACAATCTATATTGACATTCGTCACAGAAATGCATTTTGTAGTCTCACAAATACACAAAAGGAGAAAACTAAATTTTCAGATTAAAAGCATACCCAACTAATTCAGTGACATACCTTCTGCTTCCTCATGAATTCTTGTGAAGCTGTCAGAATTACGCTGACAACATTTTCCAGGTTGTCAATGCGAGGAAGCTTGTCAGCACGGATCTGAAAACAAATTATCAAACAAATTGAACATTAAAGGAGAAGATGTTCTTTACGAAAATCTTTTTTTATTTAAATACTCTAGATGGACTTCCTTTTACTGAACAAATATGTCTTACATTATGCATGAATTATTGGAGTCTATAATGTTACATACAATAAATCAGCAATGAGATTACACAAATCTGAGTGAGAGTTGAGCACATACATATCGTAGCACCATCTGCCTGATGTAGAGTTCCTCTATCCGCGTGTCCAGCTGTCCAAAGTCCCAGACCAGGGGCAGTAGACTCTGGGGTAGGGGCTGGACACGGTAAACAAGGCGCCGCAGTGGTACACGGCCTACAATATACAAACAATAGGAGATAACCCCTGTGCTCTGGGGTAGGGGCTGGACACTGTAAACAGGGGGCCACAATGGTACACGGCCTACAATATACAAACAATAGGAGATAACCCCTGTGCTCTGGGGTAGGGGCTGGACACTGTAAACAGGGGGCCGCAGTGGTACACGGCCTACAACATAGATACAATAGGGGATAACACCTGTACTCTGGGGAAGGGGCTGGACACTGTAAACAGGGGGCCACAGTGGTACACGGCCTACAATGTACACACAATAGAGGATAACACCTGTACTCTGGGGTAGGGGCTGGACACTGTAAACAGGGGGCCGCAGTGGTACACGGCCTACAACATACAAACAATAGGAGATAACCCCTGTACTCTGGGGTAGGGGCTGGACACTGTAAAAAGGGGGCCACAGTGGTACACGGCCTACAATATACAAACAATAGGAGATAACACCTGTACACTGGGGTAGGGGCTGGACACTGTAAACAGGGGGCCGCAGTGGTACACGGCCTACAACATAGATACAATAGGGGATAACACCTGTACTCTGGGGAAGGGGCTGGACACTGTAAACAGGGGGCCACAGTGGTACACGGCCTACAACATACAAACAATAGGAGATAACCCCTGTACTCTGGGGTAGGGGCTGGACACTGTAAAAAGGGGGCCACAGTGGTACACGGCCTACAATTTACAAACAATAGGAAATAACACCTGTACTCTGGGGTAGTGGCTGGACACTGTATAAAGGGGGCCACAGTGGTACACGGCCTACAATATACAAACAATAGGGGATAACACCTGTACTCTGGGGTAGGGGCTGTACACTGTAAACAGGGGGCCGCAGTGGTACACGGCCTACAATATACAAACAATAGGAGATAACACCTGTACACTGGGGTAGGGGCTGGACACTGTAAACAGGGGGCCGCAGTGGTACACGGCCTACAATGTACACACAATAGAGGATAACACCTGTACTCTGGGGTAAGGGCTGGACACTGTAAACAGGGGGCCACAGTGGTACAGGGCCTACAACATACATACAATAGGGAATAACACCTGTACTCTGGGGTAGGGGCTGGACACTGTAAACAGGGGGCCGCAGTGGGACACGGCCTACAATGTACACACAATAGAGGATAACACCTGTACTCTGGGGAAAGGGCTGGACACTGTAAACAGGGGGCCACAGTGGTACACGGCCTACAACATACATACAATAGGGAATAACACCTGTACTCGGGGGTAGGGGCTGGACACTGTAAACAGGGGGCCGCAGTGGTACACGGCCTACAACATACAAACAATAGGGAATAACACCAGTACTCTGGGGAAGGGGCTGGACATTGTAAACAGGGGGCTGCAGTGGTACACGGCCTACAACATACATACAATAGGGAATAACACCTGTACTCTGGGGAAGGGGCTGGACATTGTAAACAGGGGGCTGCAGTGGTACACGGCCTACAACATACATACAATAGGGAATAACACCTGGATATTATTACCTTCCAGGTCAAATGTATTTGTGTAGGTCAAACTGCAATGACCTCCTTGACGTGCATAGATTTGTTATACCAGAGGGAGTGTTTTGGAATCAGCTGCATTTCCACTTAAAACAACATTGAAACTTAAACGCAAAAACCTAAGGTATTGGTACCTAAGATGCATCTCTTGTGCAGGTTTGGTTGGTGCAGCAGTTAAAGTTTCAGAGATTTGTGGAATTTATATCCCTCGCTTGCAAGACATATTGTAGGTTAACATTATTGAGGTTAGGTTTAAACATGTGAGTATCGTGCTGTTGAGACATAACATAATAAACTTGAAGAAAGAAAAAAATAGCCCTATTGATTAACAGTAAATATGCACAAATCACATCAGTTGGCAAACTTAGCATGATTTGGATGTGCGTAAGTAATTTGGTTGAAACAATATCTACAGCAATTTTCACACAAAAAACAAAGAGTGCCCGAGAAGGGTGGAAAGACAGAGGAACACAAACATTGTTATCAAGTTTGAAGGAATTTGGCTAATATTTGCTAGAGTAATTAAACGGAAACTGCAGATAATGACATTTTTCGTTAATCAAGGGGCCATAACTCTGCCAAATGGAGTCCGATTAAAGTTGTTGTCAAACTTGGCTGAGCCCTTAATGCGTTGAACCAGTGTTACTAAGCTTGAAGACAATCGGATAATATTTGCGAGAGTTAATGAACAGAAACGGCAGATAACGACTTTATTTCATTATTCAAGGGGCCATAACTCTGCCAAATGGGTCCGCTGTAAGTGGTCATCAAACTTGGCCGAGCCCTTAAGGCATTTAACCCTGTGACCAAGTTTGAAGAAAATCTGTTAACATTTGTTGTAGTTATTGCACGGAAATGAAGCGTAGCAGATAATGACGTTTTTCATTATTCAAAGGGCCATTACTCCGCTAAATGGGGTCCGCAGAAAGTGGTCATCGAACTTTGCCGAGCCCTTAAGGCATTTAACCCTGTGTCGAACTTTGAAGAAAACCGGTTAACATTTGTTGTAGTTATTGCAGGGAAATTAAGCGTGACAGACAGACAGAAAAACCTAAATTAATATCCCCCGTTTCGGTGAAAGTGGGGGATAAAAACTTAATGTTGATGGAGATGCTGACAAAGTCAATGGACCATGAAAGGTAGGCCACATCCAGCATTTGATGCATGGGTTGAGATGTACTAAGTAAGATGCATCTATGGTCCAAGTTTGGTTGGTCAGTGAAACTAACTTAAACGCAAAAACTTAATTGTGACGCCGTCATTACCGTCGCCGGAAAAGCAACACCTAGGTCTCGCTTCCGGTTCTTCTTGGCGGCGAGACAAAAATCACTTGCATAACAGGATATTAAAAGGCAAATTAAAACAGTTCCAATGTTATTACTACTTGTTTTGATGACTTTAAACAAATTTACACGCTGAAATGACCTGCAATAAGCAGACCTGAGCAGTATTTTGACCATCCATGACTGTCATGTCATTGCTGAGACCTGGGTAGATCTGCTAAATCACAACATTACTACATAACATATCCGATATGGTTAAGGTCAGCTGATAGAAAGTTTTAACAAAAATGATGATAATGTTTGTACCTTTACCAACTCTTTAATTCCACATGATTTTCTATAAACCTACCTAATGTGTCTGTTGTTTTTTCAGCATCAACATGGTATCCCAGACCTGCCTGCTCTAGGCGTTTTATCAGCTCATCAGAGTGCCTGACAAGGATTGAAATATCATAGTATGAGCAGAAAGTTTTACTTAAGTAATTTACATTACTATAAATGCTTGCAAAAATATGGTTCTGAATAATTCAAGTAACTTTAATTTACAAATTTTATGATATACAGACAAGTTATTTTCAACAATATTTCTCATCGAATATTGAGTTAAATATTAAATACAAGAAATGACATGGAGATAATTCAATCATTATCAGATTTCTATTTGACCCGTAACAGTGTTCCATTTTATAACACCAGGATCCCAAACTTACTTGAAAGACATTTCACACGAAGAGTGGAGGGCATTCTTATTATGAAATATCAAAGCTTTGGCTTTTTCAGATTTTCAAAAATTCAACAAATCATCTCTTCTGATAATGTTTTAGGGCCTTTTAAAGGAACACACAGCACCACAATTACAACAAGCTCAGAGGGCCTGTATCGGGTCACCTGGATAATCAAGCAACCTAGGGAAAATAGTCTCATTAAATATAATACTGCTGTTCCCAAACTATTTCCAAATATTGGCTCTGTCTTTCAGCAACACCCATCCCTCATTGGGTCCCTTCTTTTTGCCCCCCCCCCCCCCCCCCCCCCCCCCCCCCCGCGGGAGAGGGGGGGGGGGGGGGGGGGGATTTTAAACATTTACCCTGTATACCCAGCGAGACCCATACTCGTTACCAAGCAAGGAAAAAAATAAAATGTTGGCACTTCCTTAGAAACGATAGTCGAAAGATATGGGGAGATCTCAAAACCAGAAAAACTATAAAAGGATAAGGTTTTTGTGTTTACTTTCTGTACGGGTTGCAGGCTGCAATGATCTTCAGACTGCGACACAGTTTCAGTTGATTGCCCCCGATGGTACGGTCACACATGATCTCCTTGATCAGACCAATGGCTTCTGTGGTGTTAGCTTCATCAAAGAACAGAACAGTTTGGATGTGTTGTCCATATTTGTCTGCATTTTCTCTGGCGATGTTCTCTGCTTCCTCCACTTTCTTTATGATATCCTTGGTTTTTGTTCCTCCATGGACCTACCATAGGTTTAAAATTAATTAAAGAACTTACATAATATCACAATTCGAACAAGCAAATATATCACTACATCAGACTTTGAAAAAAGTAAAAAGGATCACCACCAAAGTAATTCATGACCAATAAATCTTTGAAAAGTTTGTTTGAGGTTTTAACTTCCTTACATCAGTGAAGGTCAAATAAAGACAGGTACCTAAGGAGACAACGACAAAAAGAAAGGTTGAGGAAGTAAGAAAAGCTATGGATTCCAAGTGATGAAAAGGAATCAGCAGTACCCTAATGGCCTATCTATCATTTCATATCAGTAAATAAATGGCAGACATTGTTATTTAGAAGAAACTGGCACATTATCTTGTGCCAATGCTTGTTCTGCTGTTTTTTATCCTGGGATATTTCAATGGCTGCAGATTGGGCCAAATCTCATCAGGAAATAGGTGTGAAACAACTCAAAATACATACATTGGTACAGAAAAGACTGTTTGTGTATGAAATGTCACCAAAGTATCTTTAGGTCATGCATGCTTAGATATAAATTTAACAGGCTTAATTACATAATACCACCATTTATTCTCAACAGTTAACTAAAAGGTGACAAGAGGCCATAGAAACTTAATTACTCATCCTTTTTCATCAATTTTATGTGTTTTTCCCTTAGATGACAATTGTGACCTTGTGCGTTTGTCTAGGTAATTGATTTAAACAAATGAATTTGCCAACCTAGCAATCTACAAATCATATGTCATGACTCTTATCTTCATCTTTTGGTAGATGATGTCTTTAGAATTCATGGTATTTAAAGTAGGTTCGTGTATTTTATTCTAAAAATTGCATAGCCAGTTAATACAACCAACTATGTGGCCAAATATCATGACAACAGACCTCACATTTATTTTAGGAAAAAACTTTATGCAAAACAGATGCTGGATATTGCATGGTCACATAAGCTCAGAAACATTCAAGGCAAGTGAGCTAGAAATTACTTACCTTCATGAGGATCATGTTTTTGAGGTCCACCCCCGGGGGACACTGAAGCTCACACATAAACTTGACTAGACGAGTTTTACCACATCCAGTCTCCCCCATGATGATGACAGGGATATCACATCTGAAGAAATAAAAGAGAAATTTGAGAAAGATCCATGGAGTACTTTTTGAAAAATAGCCATAACAAGAATTGTTTAAGGACAGACAACTGACAAAAGGATGGTCAGGTGAAGCACAGTACACAAACGAATGAGTTAAAATGTGAAGGCAGTTAATGTACTTACTTAAACCTCATGTAGATGGCCATGATTTTCTTCACGTTGTCTGTGGTCAGTTCATATGTATCATCTGGATCATGAGGCATCTCCATTCCCATCACACTGCATAGTTTCAAAATCTTCTCATGTCTAAAGAAAGTGAAAGATGGAACTTCTCAACACAAGGCAAAATGTACTAAAAAGAAATTTGCTAAGTTTTTCCACCCAACAATGTGTAAAATAATGTGACCAATCATAAATTAAGTAACAAATTGTTTCATTGAAGTATGTGACCTTCTCAGGCGCGTAACAACCTGTGTAGCAAAAAAGCCCGGGCTTACACATCATTTGACAAAATAAAAAAAATAAGAACGCAACATAGACTAACATGATATAAAATATCAAAAAGCAATGACAGGTGTTTTGTATCTGCTATAAAGACCGCCAACTAAAATGCTTAGTTGCAATCAAAGAAGTCTCCAACAAATGTAGAACTGAGGGTAGCATATTTATTCGGTGGGGTAACAGCGCCAGTGAAACTCTAGTCTTGCTAATTATTGGTGTACCCAAACACTAACTCTAGTTTTCCCCGTGAAATAAAGTGTTTCTAAGTTTTTTTACCGCTTTTATAAATATAAAGGGAACAATATGGTAGCCTGGCTTCAATCATCTGACATGGCAACCGTGCCAGTGCAACTCTAGCTATGCAAATTATTGGTATACACATAGTACTCACTTATAGCCCCCCGCCCCCCATGAAACAAACTGTTCCTATGGTTTTTATCCCCTTTATTAATACAAAATACATATGAAGGGAAGGAATGGTAATAAACCTTGGCTTTATATTTTACATTGACCAGTATATCGGTTCTTATGTACATAATGTTAAACTATTCCTAGTGATAGCTTGTGATACTAGTCTCATATCCCTGTGCAACCGGAGTCACAGTCGCGAGGAGAAACGTCACAAGAAGAGAAAAAACTCTTACAACAACTTTCCCAAAATCCACATGATTTTAGATTTTTCTTTTCCGTGGAATAATATGTTACCATAACAGAATTGGCGTAGATGAGTACCAACCTACGTACCCAAAAATAAGCAAAATATTTGTAAAATAATAGGGGAAAACGATATTTTCTTGCTTTAAAACGGCCATTGAAACTGACGCCAGAACACGGGAGAACGCGTCTCAGGCGTTCCAGAAAAACAAAATTCTCCTGGGGGAGACCACCCAGACCCCCACCGAAGGGAGGGGGAAAAAACCCTCCCATACCCTCCCCCTCCTCGAGCTGTGCACTTCGGAGTTCTGCCTTCGGCACCACAATTCATCATTGGGCTTCCACATTGAAAACCTGTTTGTTTACGCCCCTGCTTCTACCATAAAAATAAAGGAAGATAATACCATTTATATGTCAAAAGTATGGCAGAATACTAATATTTTCACAAATATGAAGCAGTAATGAAAATATTGGTAAATTCTGTCATAGGAGTCTAGTACTGTCATCAACCTTGAAAACAACGTTGCATGCCGTTTTGAATGGGCTACTACTCAATGGAATCCTCCTTTTTCTGTATATATCTGGTAATGTTGTAAATTTTGTATCTCTGTGCTGTGAATAGGAAGAACCTTTTTGATTGGTCAATACCAGAAGTGATATCTTCACACTGTAACAAATATCACTTTTGATATCTGTTACATTGATTTTATCAAGTTCATAGAATTCAAAATCTTGGTAGTAAAAAAGTAATAATTAAATTTCCCCTTTCTACCTAAAGTGTGAGGGAAATAATGACTCTATATTATAGTGTGGTAAAATAATGACCTTTCACACACAGTACAAAGCAGTGAAATATTAATTAAACAAATTTTGGCATAATCATTATTTAATATTTGACAATAGTAGGAGACAGTGTATAACAGATGCCACAGATGCCCAAGACTAAGGTGCATGGTGAACAAAGGCCAGAACTATGTATATTTATATATTGAAGCAAGAAACCTTAACTTTTAGTAAGCAGCATTCCACCATCATAAGAGGTATATTCACATACAAAATTCAGCAATTGTAGCGACACAGTTTTTGGGATAGGATATGGACAAAGTGACACACTGAGTGTCTAATTGATGATTGATGATATGGCAATATATGCAAATCTAGTTGCTTCTAAAAGTACCAATAAGACACTTCAATTAATCAACAAAACAAAGTCAATTTATCTGCTCTGACCTTTGCAGACCATCAAAGTTCTCATCAATGTTAACTTTGTTTCTGATGAGACTGTCCTGGAGTTCCTTTTGCATTATGTGCCGCTCCAGAACGGCCCCAGTTTGTTGGTCCAGCATGTCACCTGTCGCTCTCTGGATCTTGAACCCCACAAATGTCATTGAGTGCTGATCAGGGTTAAAGAAGAGATAGGGATGGGGGCTGTGAATGGAAGCAAAACAATATTTTCATTTGACCCATATAACACATAAAACAATCTTTAAAACCTAGGTTAAATAAAGGTGGATGAAAGGAGTGAAAAAACCCAATTCATTTGATTCCAATACCACAGAAAAATATTTCATTTAAAAGATTAAAGTTTCCCACAAGATAAAAATAGTTTTGACTTTTAAGAGAACAGCGGTACTTCCCAAAGGTAATCTCTTCATTTATATCTACTTCAAATACAAACATGTAACATTAACAAGAGACACAGAGAGCCTGTATCGCTCACCTGGATATCTAAGCAATCATGGCAAAACATTCTCCAAATAAGATCCCAGATAATAAGCCAGACCCCAAGGCCAATCCCTGTAGCATATCTGTATTAGATTCTTCATGCCCAGCATTTTTATGTATGGCTATGGGGTGGGGATCTCAACTGTTTCCAAGCTCTGACTCAGAAACTAGGTTCAAAGGAGTTTGGCCAGACCCCTGGGTCAATTCTCATATCATGACTGCATTCATCTATTTATACCCAGCATTTGTATATATAGTAATGGGGTGGGGATCTCAACTGTTTCCAAGCTGTGACTCAGAAACTAGGTCCAAAGGAGTTTGGCCAGACCCCTGGGTCAATTCTCATATCATGACTGCATTCATCTATTTATACCCAGCATTTGTATATATAGTTATGGGGTGGGGATCTCAACCATTCTAAAGTTATGACCCAGGGGTTAAGTCTGCAAGGGTGGGGCAGACCCCAGGGTCAATTCTAATATCATGAAAGCATTCGTCTCTTTATGCCCAGCAATTGTATATATAGTTTTGGGGTGGAGATCTTAATCATTCCAATGTTATGACCCTGGGGTTTAGTTTGTAAGGGTGGGGCTGAGACCCCAGGGTCAATTCTAATATCATGAAAGCATTCGTCTCTTTATGCCCAGCAATTGTATATATAGTTTTGGGGTGGAGATCTTAATCATTTCAATGTTAATTGACCCTTGGGTTAAGTTTGTAAGGGTGGGGCAGACCCCACAGCCATTCTAGAAGCATATGTGCATTCGTCTCTTTATATTCAGCAATTTTATATATGGTCATAGGGTGTGGATCTCAACTGTTTCGAGGCTGAGAATCAGAAACTAGGTCCCTAGGTGTGTGGCCAGACCCCAGAGTCAATTCTAATATCAAGACTGCATTCGTCTCTTTATGCCCAGCATTTGTATACATAGTTTTTGGGTGGGGATCTCCACCGTTTCAAAGTTGTTACCCAGGGACTATGTCTCCAAGGGTGGGGCCAGACCCAAGAGCCATCCTGGAAGCATATGTGCATTTATCTCTTTATACTCAGCAATTGTATATATGATTATAGGGTGGGGATCTTAACCATTTCCAAGTAATAAACTATTTTTGCCCCCAACCCTTAGCCCAGGGGGTTTCAAGCCCTCAATTTGTACAATTTTGAACCCCATCTACCTAGGGATGCTTTCATTCAAAAATGGTTGATATCCATTGTTTAGTTCCAGAGAAGAAGTCACTTAAAGCAATATAGCCAAGTAACCCTTTTTGGCACAACCCCTCAGCCCCCTGGAGGGTCAGCCCAACCATTTGTACAATTTTGAACCCCTGCCTCCCATGAATACTTCTGACCAAATATGATTGATATCCAGTGTATAGTTCTACAGAAAAAGTCGCTTATAGCAATATAGCAAAATTGCCCCCTTTTGGCCCCGCCCCTCAGTTCCCTGGGGGGTCAGCCCCACCATTTGTTTAATTTTGAATGCTCACCACCTAAGGATGCTTCCACTCAAATTAAGATAAATTCCAATTAAAAGAAGAAGTCGTTTGAAGAAATTGTTGACATACAGACGATGGACGACAGCAATGACACCACAGTATGGTATATGAGAAAATATATTTCACTAAGGCATCTCCTGAGAAAAATACTGTCTTCTTAATTACTGTAAGACTGTGTTTGGAGTTTGACACACTTACTCTCCCTGACCCAAAAGCTGAGGGACAAAAACAGAACAATATATGCCTATTACATGCTATGACGCATGTACTTAAGACTCACAGACACACTTTGTATGACATAGTATTACCTGGAAATCTTATGATGTTATATGGCTTTTAAAAGTAAAAGCACATTTAAATAAGCTTTAATTGAATAAGGATTGCCTCCTTTTTTCCTAGATCCCTTTTGCCTTTTTCCCACATATTAACCTTCAAAAATTTAATTTATTGGGATTGCCGCCCTATGCCTATTTTCTAATTCCAATTAAACTCATGAAATTCCTGCTTGCTACTTAATTACAGGCAGATTACAATAAAGTAAGAATATAGCCTTCTTGCTTAGTTGAAATGTTGACAAAGTTTCATCAGTATCTGGCATATTTGATTAAGTTAATAATTATCGTTTGAATACTATCAACCACTTAAGTGTGCAGTAAGCTAATTTATTATGTACATAATTTTCATTTAGCTTTGGTCTTTCTATACATGCTCACCAAGGATTGTCCTTAAAAATGATATATTTGACATTGTGATAAAGCTAGGTGTGAGGAAATGGCTACTGACCTGGGAGATATAGCTAGGTGTGACGAAATGGCTACAGACCTGGGAGATATAGCTAGGTGTGATGAAATGGCTACAGACCTGGGAGATATAGCTAGGTGTGACGAAATGGCTACTGACCTGGGAGATAGAGCTAGGTGTTACAATATGGCTACAGACCTGGGAGATATAGCTAGGTGTGACGAAATGGCTACAAATCTAGAGAGATATAGCTAGGTGTTATGAAATGGCTACAGACCTAGGAGATATAGCTAGGTGTGACCAAATGGCTACAGACCTGGGGGATATAGCTAGGTGTGATGATATGGCTACAGACCTGGGAGATCTTGCTGGGTGGTGAATAGGCTACAGACCTGGGAGATCTTGCTGGGTGGTGAATAGGCTACAGACCTGGGAGATATAGCTAGGTGTGATGAAATGGCTACAAATCTAGGGAGATATAGCTAGGTGTTACAATATGGCTACAGACCTGGGAGATATAGCTAGGTTTGACGATATGGCTACAGCCCTGGGAGATATAGCTAGGTTTGATGAAATGGCTACAGACCTGGGAGATCTAGCTGGGTGTTGAATAGGCTACAGACCTGGGAGATCTAGCTGGGTGTGATGATATGGCTACAGACCTGGGAGATCTAGCTGGGTGTGACGATATGGCTACAGACCTGGGAGATCTAGCTGGGTGTGATGATATGGCTACTGACCTACTCTCCCATGTCCTCCTCATCTGGAACTGTTTGATGATGTTCTCCTCTCCAGCTCCTCCTGTCTCTTCATCTACAACGGCCATTCTCTGCATCCTCTGGATAGGGGATTCTTCACTCATCACTAGTGACCTTGTTGCAAAATCCTGTAACACAAATTCAAAATGCATATATACATGAGGTCCATGACACCAAACACAGGGGTGTACCAGATTTTCAGCTGAGACTAGTGAAATTACTAGCATACTACAATTATTTTAAAGGCATTCAGTTATTTAATCATAAGATAATATAGTGATATAGATCATGTGGTCATGTTGTCAGCTTGATCCATTTTGTAGTTGTTAGGCCAGCAGAATATTTTTTGGGCTAGTGGATTTTTAGCGTCTACTAGCCTCGAGCTAGTATCTTGAACAAGAGGCCCAATGGCCCTGCATTGCTCACATGGTTTTAATCTCACAATTGTAATCTTAAAAGTGGACTTAAATAAAGCTACAGGCAAAATATCAGTATCTTGACTTCAGAAGAACCTGTTAAACGATTTAAACACATTTGACCCGTGACCTTGACAGTCAAACATGACAGTCAAACATGGACATTTAAAGTTGAACAAACTTCATAGCCCTTCCTACCAGAATGCAACTTGCCAAATATCACCACCTTATACCTTTTGTTTATTGAGAAGATGACTTTTAAAGATTTATGCACTATAGACCAGATGTGACCATGAAAATGTGTCAAGATTAATTCAGAAGAAGTCATTTTAAGATTTCAACATATTTGACCCCTGTGACCTGTGAATATGGGCAAAAGTCATTAATTTTAACTAACTTTGTAGCCCTTCATGCCAACATCCTTATGGCCAAATATCATCACCCTGGACCTTTTGGTTATACAAAAGAGGTTGTTTAATGGTTTTTAAGACAATAGCCCCTGTGACCTTGAATATAGGGGAAGGTCATTAATTTGAACAAACTTGGTAGTCCTTCATCCCAGCATGCTACTGGCTATATCATCATCCTGGGCCTTCTGGTTATTCACAAGAAGTTATTTAAAGATTTCAACATATTTGACCCCTGTGACCTTAAATATAGGCGAAGGTCATTAATTTGAACAAACTTGGTAGCCCTTCATCCCAGCATACTACTGGCCAAATATCATCATCCTGGGCCTTCTGGTTATTCAGAAGAAGTTATTTAAAGATTACAACATATTTGACCCCTGTGACCTTGAATATAGGCAAAGGTCATTTATTTGAACAAACTTGGTAGCCTTCATTCCAGCATACTACTGGCCAAATATCATCATCCTGGGCCTTCTGGTTATTCAGAAGAAGTTATTTAAAGATTACAACATATTTGACCCCTGTGACCTTGAATATAGGCGAAGGTCATTCATTTGAACAAACTTGGTAGTGCTATATCCCAGCATGTTAATGGCCAAATATCATCATCCTGGGCCTTCTTGTTATTCAGAAGAAGTTGTTTAAAGATTTCAACATATTTGAACCCTGTGACCTTGAATATAGGCAAAGGTCATTCATTTGAACAAACTTGGTAGTGCTTCATCCCAGCATGTTAATGGCCAAATATCATCATCCTGGGCCTTCTGGTTATTCAGAAGAGGCTATTTAAAGATTTCAACATATTTGACCCCTGTGACCTTGAATATAGGCGAAGGTCATTCATTTTAACAAACCTGGTAGCCCTTCATCCTAGCATAACACTGGCCAAATATCAACACCCTAGGCCTCTTGGTTATTTAGAAGAAGTTGTTTAAAAGTTTCAACATATTTGACCTCCCCTGTTACCTTGAATATAGGCAAGGGTCATTCATCCGAGCATGTTATATTTTAATAGCCAAATATCATCATCCTGGGCCTTCTGGTTATTCAGAAGAAGTTGTTTAAAGATTTTAACACATTTGACCCCTGTGACCTCGAAAATGGGCAAAGGTCAGACGACGGACGACGGATGACGCACCATGGGCCAGGTGAGCTAATAAAATGTTGACTAACGGCAACCCGAGTTTGATCTTGGGATGTGTCATGGAAATGTAACCATATAAGCAATGATAGGTTTTACGTCCGCTTCACTACAGAGTTCGGTTACCATAGCAATGAGGATTGTATCTTTTTATACAACATACCCTTGACATTTGGATGAGGAATTTCAACACAAATTTGTCAAATCCTGGCAAGTCTTCCTTGGCCGCTGCACCACAGAAGGCAGAAACCTCAAAGTCCTGTAGTTGTGAGTTTAGGAAACATACAAAGTGTTTCAGCTCTGCCCATGAAGGGTCAGGCACGCCACAGTGTCTGTAAGAATATAGACATCCTACATTAACAACAATTCACACATAATGGATTTTTATTTCTAATGTCAATAGGTCTTAAAAGTGGAGTCATACTTAATCCTTATTTTATGATAGGGAAGCAGTTTCAAAACAATGACAACTACATACCTTATTACAGTACTTCCATCTCCATGAGTCATACTATATATTAATTACTTTTCCTCAATACATTGCCTTAGTATGACTGATGTACACCTTAAATGTGGGCAAAGCTATGCTCCTGACACAACATTTTAGCAAAGGGCAATAACTCTGTAAATAAGGGGTTGTGGGCCTTAACTTTGGCACTGTGCACATCGTCTTAGTATGAGTGATGTACATACCAAGTTTCATTATCGTAGCCTAACGTGGGTAAAGTTATGCTCCAGACACGAAAAGGACGGACAACGGAAGGACGGACGGGCAAAGCGGCAACTATATGCTCCCCCAAAAGCATTTCGGGGAGCATAAAAAAACTTTTAATTGAACATTTCTATATATTGAGTTTATACCTTAAAAACGTCTGGAGACAGTTAATCTGGTTCCCTCCTGGTTCAGCTAGGTCTCTACTTTCATCCAGGCGCCGTAGGTACTGATAGGGTCGCTGGAATACAGGGCTCTTAAATTCTTGTTTATCAAACAATAGATCACTATCTGCATAATCTGCAACAACATATTTCAATAACAATATATTTCTCTAAGAACAAGGAATTTATTATACGATTTTCTTACATTTCCAGTACTGGAAAATGTCTTAATCTTCCATCCCCAACAACAGGTAAATTTGTTAAATATCTTAATCCTCGAAGTTGGGTAAATGTATAAAATGTACTTACTATTTTATCCAGCAATAAGCCCATGCTTGGTAATAAGCCCACCAATATGTATTGCAGTTAAAATAAATGCCAACAAAACCTTTTCCCGTTTGTTCTTTTATAAGCCCGTCCCATTACTTTCGGTCAGAGGGCTTACTTCAGGATAAATTACACAGTGATACTTAATCCTAAATCTCAGGTAAACATGTAAACCTCAAAGTCGTATAAATATACAAGTCAAATATCTTAATAATGGGTACTGCATCCTCAATATCAGTTAAACATGCTAAATATCTTAATACTTAATCTTAAATATATAAATAAATTTATTTAATACAAACAAATAAATCATAACTTCTCTCGTCACTAATTCAATTACCCCCTCACCATTAATACATTACTTTAATAAGATAAATCTCTCCTACCAACTGGCTTCCTTCCCTGTAGAATATTGCAGCTTTCCTCTGGGGAGCGACAGGTGACATCAGGGAGGATATCAAAACACCGATGGAAACAGATTTGTTCGCCTCTCTGAAGGCACAAAGACAGTTTATGAAACAACTTTACTTTTTCAGTTAAGTGAATGAGTTTATGACAAGCCCAATGGATCTAATCTTGCTAGTACATCTTTTTTTTAAATTCTTTTTAATATTGTATATTAACGAATTTAACCATACACATTATCCTGATTGACATGTCTTAACAAGAAACTGCTTATGTCAATATGGCCGGATTGGTACAGTACAATTTCATGTAAACAGTTGAATATTTTTTGAGGTAACTGTTTTTCTTATGGCAGATGACAGATATAACGTAATAGCGCTAGCATTACCTAAATTGGTTGGGGGGGGGGGGGGGGGTGTTGCAAAGCATGACAATACAAATGGCAGTAATAACCAAGGTCCAACGCATGTAACGACTATTGTATATAGGTAAGACTTGTACACTGGAACAAGGGATTATTATACCTCAGTGATTACAAATTACTCGCATGTGAATAAGGTCAGAACCAGCATCCAAAACATCAGTAGTATAAGCATCCTTAGATACATAAGCCATGTAAGTTTAGTTGATATAAATCGCCAATCTATAAGCCCCAATCCGGCAAAAAAAATGTATTTTATAGGAGAATGCAAAAACTATCTGAATGCAATCATTACCTGTTTAGAATGATCTGTAGTGAGAAGGGGCATGGCCTCCACTAGATAGTGGTCAGATGGAGACTTGATCCACACGTAGCCTGCACTGTTGACGAGACAGCCGAGGACCAACAGTTGGAACAGGAAGGCATCCACACCTATGTATACCTGTAACACATTACAACATTCAAATACTGCAGACCTATGTATACATGTAACACATTACAACATTCAAATACTACAGACCTATATGTATACCTGTAACACATTACAACATTCAAATACTACAGACCTATGTATACCTGTAACACATTACAACATTCAAATACTACAGACCTATGTATACCTGTAACACATTACAACATTCAAATACTACAGACCTATGTATACCTGTAACACATTACAACATTCAAATACTACAGACCTATGTATACCTGTAACACATTACAACATTCAAATACTACAGACCTATGTATACCTGTAACACATTACAACATTCAAATACTACAGACCTATGTATACCTGTAACACATTACAACATTCAAATACTACAGACCTATGTATACCTGTAACACATTACAACATTCAAATACTACAGACCTATGTATACCTGTAACACATTACAACATTCAAATACTACAGACCTATGTATACCTGTAACACATTACAACATTCAAATACTACAGACCTATGTATACCTGTAACACATTACAACATTCAAATACTACAGACCTATGTATACCTGTAACACATTACAACATTCAAATACTACAGACCTATGTATACCTGTAACACATTACAACATTCAAATACTACAGACCTATGTATACCTGTAACACATTACAACATTCAAATACTACAGACCTATGTATACCTGTAACACATTACAACATTCAAATACTACAGACCTATGTATACCTGTAACACATTACAACATTCAAATACTACAGACCTATGTATACCTGTAACACATTACAACATTCAAATACTACAGACCTATGTATACCTGTAACACATTACAACATTCAAATACTACAGACCTATGTATACCTGTAACACATTACAACATTCAAATACTACAGACCTATGTATACCTGTAACACATTACAACATTCAAATACTACAGACCTATGTATACCTGTAACACATTACAACATTCAAATACTACAGACCTATGTATACCTGTAACACATTACAACATTCAAATACTACAGACCTATGTATACCTGTAACACATTACAACATTCAAATACTACAGACCTATGTATACCTGTAACACATTACAACATTCAAATACTACAGACCTATGTATACCTGTAACACATTACAACATTCAAATACTACAGACCTATGTATACCTGTAACACATTACAACATTCAAATACTACAGACCTATGTATACCTGTAACACATTACAACATTCAAATACTACAGACCTATGTATACCTGTAACACATTACAACATTCAAATACTACAGACCTATGTATACCTGTAACACATTACAACATTCAAATACTACAGACCTATGTATACCTGTAACACATTACAACATTCAAATACTACAGACCTATGTATACCTGTAACACATTACAACATTCAAATACTACAGACCTATGTATACCTGTAACACATTACAACATTCAAATACTACAGACCTATGTATACCTGTAACACATTACAACATTCAAATACTACAGACCTATGTATACCTGTAACACATTACAACATTCAAATACTACAGACCTATGTATACCTGTAACACATTACAACATTCAAATACTACAGACCTATGTATACCTGTAACACATTACAACATTCAAATACTACAGACCTATGTATACCTGTAACACATTACAACATTCAAATACTACAGACCTATGTATACCTGTAACACATTACAACATTCAAATACTACAGACCTATGTATACCTGTAACACATTACAACATTCAAATACTACAGACCTATGTATACCTGTAACACATTACAACATTCAAATACTACAGACCTATGTATACCTGTAACACATTACAACATTCAAATACTACAGACCTATGTATACCTGTAACACATTACAACATTCAAATACTACAGACCTATGTATACCTGTAACACATTACAACATTCAAATACTACAGACCTATGTATACCTGTAACACATTACAACATTCAAATACTACAGACCTATGTATACCTGTAACACATTACAACATTCAAATACTACAGACCTATGTATACCTGTAACACACTACAACATTCAAATACTACAGACTTATGTATACCTGTAACACATTACAACATTCAAATTCTACAGACCTATGGAAGCTTATAGTTCTTTTTGTAATTGACAATTGTACCAAGAACTAATTCAGTTTTTGTTTGATTATGTTTGGAAAGCAAACAAAGTGACCATTCTTTCAGAAGACCTACTTTGATGATCCTTCTTTAAATCAAATCACCATCCTGAAACGTGTTGTGCTACCTACCTCATATGAAATGTCAATGTGGAAGATTCTTGGCTCTAACTGTCCGGCTGGTAGTGTACACTTCAGCAATCTGGCCATGATTGTGTCCACATCAATCTCCTTTTCATGGAGAGGAATAGACACCACGGCTCCAGTCGTCCTCTTGTTGGTAGGGTACACATCCTCCAGGTCTTGTGCTCTCCTTGTCTTGTACAAAGATTTTCCTACTCCAGCTCTCAATGACTTCACCACTCGCACTGTCGACCTACACACACACACACACACATAAAAAAACTTTCCTTCACTGAAGAGATAAAAGAAAATGGTATAAAACTGATTGAAGAATGGTCTTAAGAAAATAATGCAAACTCCAAGCATTCATAGAAATTATTACACAATAATATAATTGACCAATTAACTCTTTCCGTACCGTTGTACGACAACAACATGTCATACTGGTCCCGTTGTCGTGTACAGACGACAAAATAATAGGCTGTCTCATCCCTGTTGTCATGTACACAGGACTACAGACTTTGATGTAACTTGTCTGATGTTTAGCTGGTTATTGCACCCGACATTTGTATTATACAATTAATTGTCGCTAAAATCAGCACCCATCAGTTCGAAAGATTTTTTTTATGGGTGCACAATTTATATTTTGTGACCTATTATATTGTTTTCTAATCTGCCGCAAGATGTTTGCGTCAAATATAAACAATATGGCGGTAACTTTATTCGATATGAACACTCTTAAATTCATCACCAAATATTTATTTAGACTTATGGAAGTAAAAATGAATATTTTGATATAAGTCTAAATGAATCAATCAATAATCAATCCATATTAGGAACCTGCACTACAACGCTGTTTTGAAAACAAGGTTTCGTATCGTTTGTTGCCTAACAGATGTCGATTTCTTAGTGATAATTAGCTGCCAGTTAGTCATAATGCTGCAAAAATGAAGAGGTGTGTGTCTATAAACAACAACATGAAACAAAAACAATATTTGTTCAGAGTTGCAGCAATTACACCTCGTCTAAAAACTACATTAATAATCCCCCATTTATAATCTGCGCGGGGGCCAGTCTAGTAAGGACATCCGGTACGGAATCCGGTCCAGATTTGAGGTACGGAAAGAGTTAAACTAAAAGGAAGAAAATTTCTCCCTGAAACTACCGTCCAAAATCCACCAAAGATGCCGGGTTAATTTTCACATCTGCTTTGTCTACTTTCAGTTTCTCCTTCAGGAAGCTTTGGATCAACTGTTGATTGGCAACAGGAAGTTGTGGTCTACGGAACCTCTCCAAGGCAGCAACAATTCTTGATTTGTATTCATTTTCTGTGCTGCACAGTACCACCAACTTGTACTTGATACCTGAAAGGTATAAGGTTAGACTATAAAATCTATCAATACCCATTTACCTTACAGGACCAGCAACTTGTACTTGATACCTGAAGGGTATAGGGTTAAAACTATAAATCAATGCCCATTTACCTTACAAGACCACCAACTTGGACTTGATACCTGAAGGGTATAGGGTTAAAACTATAAATCAATACCCAGTTACCTTACAAGACCACCAACTTGTACTTTATACCTGAATGGTATAGGGTTAAACTATAAAATCTATCAATTCCCATTTACCTTACAGGAACACCAACTTGTACTTTATACCTGAAGGGTATATATGGTTAAAACTGTGAGATCTATCAATACCCATTTACCTTACAGGAACACCAACTTGTACTTTATACCTGAAGGGTATATATGGTTAAAACTGTGAGATCTATCAATACCCATTTACCTTACAGGACCAGCAACTTGTACTTTATACCTGAAGGGTATATATGGTTAAAACTGTGAGATCTATCAATACCCATTTACCTTACAGGACTAACAATTTGTACTTTATACCTGAAGGGTATAGGGTTAAACTATAAAATCCAACAATACCCATTTACCTTACAGGACCACCACCTTGTACTTGATACCTGAAGGGTATAGGGTTAAAACTATAAATCAATACCCATGTACCTTACAAGACCAGCAACTTGTACTTTATACCTGAAGGGTATAGGGTTAAAACTATAAATCAATGCCCATTTACCTTACAAGACCACCAACTTGGACTTGATACCTGAAGGGTATAGGGTTAAAACTATAAATCAATACCCATGTACCTTACAAGACCAGCAACTTGTACTTTATACCTGAAGGGTATATATGGTTAAAACTGTGAAATCTATCAATACCCATTTACCTTACAGGACCAACAACTTGTACTTTATACCTGAGACGTATAGGGTTAGACTATAAAATCTATAAATACCCATTTACCTTACAGGACCAACAACTTGTACTTTATACCTGAAGGGTATAGGGTTAAAACTGTGAAATCTATCAATACCCATTTACCTTACAGGACCAGCAACTTGTACTTTATACCTGAAGGGTATATATGGTTAAAACTGTGAGATCTATCAATACCCATTTACCTTACAGGACTAACAATTTGTACTTTATACCTGAAGGGTATAGGGTTAGACTGTGAAATCTATCAATACCCATTTACCTTACAGGAACACCAACTGGTACTTTATACCTGAAGGGTATAGGGTTAAAACTATAAAATCTATCAATACTAATTAACCTTACAGGACCACCAACTTGTACTTGATACCTGAAGGGTATAGGTTTAAAACTGTGAAATCTATCAATACCCATTTACCTTACAGGACCAGCAACTTGTACTTGATACCTGAAGGGTATAGGGTTAGACTATAAAATCTATCAATACCCATTTATCTTAAAGGACCACCAACTTGTACTTTATACCTGAAGGGTATAGGGTTAAAACTATAAATCAATAACCATTTACCTTACAAGACCACCAACTTGGACTTGATACCTGAAGGGTATAGGGTTAGACTATAAAATCTATCAATACCCATTTACCTTACAGGACCAACAATTTGTACTTTATACCTGAAGGGTATAGGGTTAAAACTATAAATCAATACCCATTTACCTTACAAGACCACCAACTTGTACTTTATACCTGAAGGGTATAGGGTTAAACTATAAAATCTATCAATACCCATTTACCTTACAGGACCACCAACTTGTACTTTATACCTGAAGGGTATAGGGTTAAACTATAAAATCTATCAATACCCATTTACCTTACAGGACCACCAACTTGTACTTTATACCTGAAGGGTATAGGGTTAAACTATAAAATCTATCAATACCCATTTACCTTACAGGACCACCAACTTGTACTTTATACCTGAAGGGTATAGGGTTAAACTATAAAATCTATCAATACCCATTTACCTTACAGGACCACCAACTTGTACTTTATACCTGAAGGGTATAGGGTTAAACTATAAAATCTATCAATACCCATTTACCTTACAGGACCACCAACTTGTACTTTATACCTGAAGGGTATAGGGTTAAACTATAAAATCTATCAATACCCATTTACCTTACAGGACCACCAACTTGTACTTTATACCTGAAGGGTATAGGGTTAAACTATAAAATCTATCAATACCCATTTACCTTACAGGACCACCAACTTGTACTTTATACCTGAAGGGTATAGGGTTAAACTATAAAATCTATCAATACCCATTTACCTTACAGGACCACCAACTTGTACTTTATACCTGAAGGGTATAGGGTTAAACTATAAAATCTATCAATACCCATTTACCTTACAGGACCACCAACTTGTACTTTATACCTGAAGGGTATAGGGTTAAACTATAAAATCTATCAATACCCATTTACCTTACAGGACCACCAACTTGTACTTTATACCTGAAGGGTATAGGGTTAAACTATAAAATCTATCAATACCCATTTACCTTACAGGACCACCAACTTGTACTTTATACCTGAAGGGTATAGGGTTAAACTATAAAATCTATCAATACCCATTTACCTTACAGGACCACCAACTTGTACTTTATACCTGAAGGGTATAGGGTTAAACTATAAAATCTATCAATACCCATTTACCTTACAGGACCACCAACTTGTACTTTATACCTGAAGGGTATAGGGTTAAACTATAAAATCTATCAATACCCATTTACCTTACAGGACCACCAACTTGTACTTTATACCTGAAGGGTATAGGGTTAAACTATAAAATCTATCAATACCCATTTACCTTACAGGACCACCAACTTGTACTTTATACCTGAAGGGTATAGGGTTAAACTATAAAATCTATCAATACCCATTTACCTTACAGGACCACCAACTTGTACTTTATACCTGAAGGGTATAGGGTTAAACTATAAAATCTATCAATACCCATTTACCTTACAGGACCACCAACTTGTACTTTATACCTGAAGGGTATAGGGTTAAACTATAAAATCTATCAATACCCATTTACCTTACAGGACCACCAACTTGTACTTTATACCTGAAGGGTATAGGGTTAAACTATAAAATCTATCAATACCCATTTACCTTACAGGACCACCAACTTGTACTTTATACCTGAAGGGTATAGGGTTAAACTATAAAATCTATCAATACCCATTTACCTTACAGGACCACCAACTTGTACTTTATACCTGAAGGGTATAGGGTTAAACTATAAAATCTATCAATACCCATTTACCTTACAGGACCACCAACTTGTACTTTATACCTGAAGGGTATAGGGTTAAACTATAAAATCTATCAATACCCATTTACCTTACAGGACCACCAACTTGTACTTTATACCTGAAGGGTATAGGGTTAAACTATAAAATCTATCAATACCCATTTACCTTACAGGACCACCAACTTGTACTTTATACCTGAAGGGTATAGGGTTAAACTATAAAATCTATCAATACCCATTTACCTTACAGGACCACCAACTTGTACTTTATACCTGAAGGGTATAGGGTTAAACTATAAAATCTATCAATACCCATTTACCTTACAGGACCACCAACTTGTACTTTATACCTGAAGGGTATAGGGTTAAACTATAAAATCTATCAATACCCATTTACCTTACAGGACCACCAACTTGTACTTTATACCTGAAGGGTATAGGGTTAAACTATAAAATCTATCAATACCCATTTACCTTACAGGACCACCAACTTGTACTTTATACCTGAAGGGTATAGGGTTAAACTATAAAATCTATCAATACCCATTTACCTTACAGGACCACCAACTTGTACTTTATACCTGAAGGGTATAGGGTTAAACTATAAAATCTATCAATACCCATTTACCTTACAGGACCACCAACTTGTACTTTATACCTGAAGGGTATAGGGTTAAACTATAAAATCTATCAATACCCATTTACCTTACAGGACCACCAACTTGTACTTTATACCTGAAGGGTATAGGGTTAAACTATAAAATCTATCAATACCCATTTACCTTACAGGACCACCAACTTGTACTTTATACCTGAAGGGTATAGGGTTAAACTATAAAATCTATCAATACCCATTTACCTTACAGGACCACCAACTTGTACTTTATACCTGAAGGGTATAGGGTTAAACTATAAAATCTATCAATACCCATTTACCTTACAGGACCACCAACTTGTACTTTATACCTGAAGGGTATAGGGTTAAAACTATAAAATCTATCAATACCCATTTACCTTACAGGACCACCAACTTGTACTTTATACCTGAAGGGTATAGGGTTAAAACTGTGAAATATATCAATACCCATTTACCTTAAAGGACCACCAACTTGTACTTTATACCTGAAGGGTATAGGGTTAAAACTAATGACAATCAACACCACCAAAATCTACATGACCAACAACTTGCATTTTAGATTGATAGAAAAACTACAGCATCCACAAGTTATAAGAAACAGACACTACTGATAAACACTGGAACAATTATCAAATTAAATGCAATCAAATTTCCATATATCTAACTCGATGTTTCAAATTTACGGCAAAGTCTAGATTTTCCCCTTATACTATACTACTAATATTATATATGGGGCAAAGAAGTAATTCCAACAGTGTGGACAAGTTTAGGTTGTCAAATTTTCGGAGCGATTCGCTCCTTTTTCAAGACACAGTGAAACTGAACAGTTACATGTACATATACATCATATTACAAGAAGATAGAATTGATATATTATAATTGAAAATATAGCTATTATATAAAACCAATAGTCCCCTCGGCTAAAGACAGCTGAAGGCAGCAATTAAGCTGAGAGCATCTCGGACAAGGAACGCTGATGTAGAGGACCTATTCCTGCGCAAGATGCACTATCATATAAAGTGAGTCAACTAGAGATATCAAAAACGTGGAACATGTGCATGTGGTATATATATACAAATCGAACTTATATGAGTCAAATTTCAT